GTTAGGTCAGTCCTCCTCTTCAGAAATTAATGGTCAGTTTGGGGGTGGGAGTTTGCCTTGGGAAGTGTGGAATTCTTATTGATCTTGAGTGGCAATACTGAATTTGAGCCAAGTTGACGCGTCTTCAGAATTTGTTTCAATACTATTATTATTTAATGATTTGAAAAATTCCATGCCAGTCTCATGGAAAGCTTTTGTCAAACTTTCCCTCATGTAAAGGCCTCTTTGATACCTTGATTATTATCTGGAAACCTTTACGTAGTTCAGGGGTGTCAGTTGAACTGCCTTTCCTCTTGTGAGTTGACCTATGCCTATTTTATTGATTTAATGCTAATTCATTCTTTGAAGAAAAGCATGAAGTTCCTTCATGAGGAGCAGCTTCCTGAGGCTACCTTTGTGCCTTCCCACCCTTTTACAGGAGCTAACCACCCTAGGCAGAAAAGATGGCACAGGTGGAATGGTCACAGATTTTCAGTTGGAGGCAGATGATGACATCATTGGCAGTCCTTCATTTATTCTGTTCTCTGTCTTAATTTTTATGTGTGGATGGTATTAACCAGCTGCTGTAGCACTGATGGAAAGGTTTCTTTAAGATTCAAGGGCATCATATAAGTCCCTGAGCACTGTGGGGTGTAGTTTGTGTAGAATAAACGTGTCCATGTTTGTGTTCTGCGGGACAGAAGGAAACCAGGGCACTGCACTGAGCAGTGCTTGTGCTGGGCCTTCTTAGCCCACATTTATGTAAAGCAGCCTGGTATTATCCACCTGAAGTCACTGCTTTTTTAAGGCTCTGGCAGAGCCCTGCCTTTTTGTCTTTTGTTCTCACCAAAACCAAAACTCTTCACCTGAATCAGTGATTTCTGCACTGATGAACACTGAACTTTTCTGTGGAGTCTTGACTTAAACCACCCCAGTGAGTCTGATCTGAGGACTCAGTTTGGATATATTAGAAAACCGACTCATGTGATGTGAAGTCACTAAATACAAATTAGAGGTTTCAACTGCAAGAGAAGTAGCACATGCAGCTTTTTACAAATGAGTACACTCTTCTACAGAATAATTTCAAATCCTTGTAGGTAACACACTGCCACGAGAGGGAACCAGAGGGATTTTCCTAAACCTACTGAACAGAGCATTTTTTTCTCCTCCCTTGAAGATGAGGCTGTGGAAAGCAGTTGGTTCTCTAGCACAGAGCAGCCTATATGGCAGTCTCTAGACAATGAAATGTCAGCTTTGTGTTTAGTAAAAACACAGGAACACTTTCCCTTTTCTCATACTCCATATGGGATTGTTGCAACCGTAAAAATGGGATTTCAGTAGGAAAGTTGCATACGATATATTGGATATTTTCCTTGTTGAAAGTGTTTTCACTTTCTCTCACACTTTTCTCACGTGCATCATGTCCTCAGCACTTCATGGCTAAAAGGTTGGGTAGAAATCTGAGTGCATTTGAGCCACCTGCATGGCCCTGTGTGACTTTACATTTTCATGTGGTGCTCCAGAGATGGGGATTGTAAAGAAGCATTTCACAGATTTCATAGATGCACGTATTTAGACTTTAAAGTAAGGGGTAGAATTGCTCACACCCCCTGAAGTGTTGGGCATGAGTCCACATTTGGATTCCAAGTTCTCAGAAGGTCCATTTCTGCCTCCCAGACTGTGGCAGGAGGGTGTTGGCAGCCACTCCCCAGTACCAGTTGACTTCAACGTGCTCCCGTCCAAGATGTTGCAGAACCTCATGGGCACTGGTGTTTCTGATGCTCTTTGGTCTTACACTGCTGCTGCACATCCCAGACTTATCCCACCACACACAGCATCCCCCAGCCAGGTGTTTAACCCCAGTCCTTTTTGGTTGCAGGGTTTTCAGTGAATGCCTCCTCAGAGCGGCTCAATATGGGAGAAATAGAGACTTTGGAAGACTACTGAGCATGTGCAAATCAACTGGCTTTTCCTGCATCTGTTAACCATGGATTCTCCGTTTGGACACAGTGCTCTCCACCGTGTGTTGTTCTTCACCTCGCAGTGAATCACAGGATCAATCATCTCAGGCTGCTTCCTCTGGCCCCAGCAAACCCTTTGTGCCCAGGACTGCACAGGCATCGTTCCTCCTGTCAGCCCAGAGTCCCGTGGACGTTGCTCAGAGCCCTGGGAGGGTGGGAGTTAGGATTCCTTCACAACAAGGCTGATTTGGGCAGCGAGCTTTCACTGTGCTGTGATTCCTTCTGCTGACATACCTGGAAAAAAAAAAATCAATTGGGATTCTGCAAACTATTGCTTCCCTCTCCTGGTTACTCTTACCACATCCAACATGTGCAGTCCCATGGAGAGAGAGAGAGAGAGAGTTTGTGGTTAACAGATGTTGGTCAAACCCCAATGCCACGGCTCCTGCCTGGGCTCCCCCAGGGCGGGTGCTCTGCCGGGCCAGGAGGGGCATCATAAGCTAACGCAGAACTGGCGACAGCACGAGAGGGGCGGTGGCGGGCGCAGTTTAGCTTGGGTTGGTTTGAAGTTGCACACCCCCTGCCAGCCCTTCTCAGCACATTATTTTTGGAGGGAAAGCTCGAGTCTGTCTTCATTAGGTGGTGATGCTGGAGCTGCTGGAGTTCCCCGTCGGCATGCTCCAGCCTTCCTGGACAAGTGGGGACTTCTGCTCTGGGAAAAAAGGGGGGTGGCATCTCTTCTTTCAGGTTGAATTTACCCCTTACATGCTACTTTCAGAGGGTTAGGACCAGTTTCTTTTGAGCTCTTTTCCTGCAAATTTGTCTCGTTTAAGAGACAGTGGGATGTTGACGTGTGGCTGTGTAGTCTTTGCAGAGGGTGGACGCTGGCTCTCAGACACGTGCCCCAGCAGGCTCAGCTGGTTGTCGTTTCAGTGCTTAGGGAACGAGCAGAGATGCCCTTTCGTCGTGAGGAGAGACACTGGAGGATGAAGCTTTGTGCAATGACGGCCCTGCTTATCTTCTACACCTTAAACTACTTCATGCACCTTCACTGGGATCCATAATCTGAGTATTTATGGAATCATAACCTTCCTCTCTCACCGAAAGATTAACACCACCTTCCCTGCTCCACCTGCCCACCCACCCACATGCACACACCGCAAAGAAAGAGAAGAACTGCCAAATGCACTTAGTTTGACCCCCTGGTCCCATCTCCCGTCCCCAGAGGGTTTGTAACCTGCGAGGGAGATCCGCTGCAGTTTTGGTGGAGTTGTGTAAAGGTGTCTGTTGTTCTGTCATCACTGCCTAAAGAAAACAGTTCGAGTTGCTCAAGAGCAGTTTGGCTTTGGATTTTATTTCATTTGGTTTATTCATTTTTTGGGGTCACCTTCCCCTCCTCCTCTCTCTTCCCCCTGCCCCCCAAACATGTACAGTAACTATACAGAGACTGCTGCAGACTTGTATATAGTTTTTGGATCCAATAGCATGGAGAGACTTGGAACTGTTGCAAATCTGGTCTCCCTGTCTCCTTTGCTTTGTAAATTCATAAAAGGGGGAAGAGGGGTAGTTAAAATGTTTACAAAACTTTAAACTCCCTCTGAACTTTTGCCAGTGTGGGGGGGAAAAAGAGAGAACTTAAATAAAACCTGGTTGTATTATATCTGAGAGAAAACTTTCTGCTTGCTTTTGTCAAAGCCGAGTTTTGAGATAATTCCTGGTGCTAAAACTCACCCCAAACTCGACTTGCATCAGTTTTCATCAAGAAACAACAAGCAAACACACAGGATGTGGAACAACAACTGCTGCTTTATTTTCTCCCTGGTGAGGAATACCGGTGGGTTTTTCTGCTTGATAATTTTAGAGTTCAAATAAACACCAGTGAGTTGAGATTGGAAACAAGAAAGCTTTAATTCTCCCCCCACCCCGTACAGAAACACGTGAATTCGTGCTCGTGTTGTTTGTGCAGGGGAGATCAAGCCATGGCTGGTTCTCTCTCACTCCCTTGCAGTCGGTGACCACCCCACCCACCCCAATCCACTGCTGTCAATGAGAGGTTTGATTCCTCCCCTCAGCCTAAAGTCCACACAGACACCTTGGAGGTTTCCCTTTTCAGACTTAATTTTCCTTTTTTTTTTCTACTTGCTGCTTATTTTTGTGTGGAAAATCCCAGTAAAAGGTAATGATGAATGTTCTCCTGCCATTCACATGACCACAGAAAGTAAGTGTGCTAAGGCCCAAATTACACAGTGCCTTGCATGATGTTTAGCTGATGTCTCAGAGAGAACAGGATGTGTTTAGGCTGATAACCTGACTTTGTTTTAATATCTTCTCTTTTTTTTTTAGCATATGAGGTGTCTGGTTAATAAGTGCTTTCTGTTTTTTAATGGTATGATCTAATTTCCACAATCCACTTTTGGACTGCTCTCTGCCATGTAACAAATACACAAAAGCCCATTAATTTCCAGCTCAGATGGGGGACAGGGAAGGAGCAGCTCCTTGATTGCTACATGAAAATGCAGAAATGCAAGCAGGGGAAATGTGCAATAGACCCTGAGGGTCTCACTCAGCCTCTCAGAGTTTGTCAATAATGGACCACTGGGGAAGATCTTGTTCTTGGTACTGAAATGTGCTGGTTTCTGTGGTTGGTACAAAGGGGAGGTGCTGGCATGTGCGGATTGTGTGCTCAGGTGACTGCCTTGTCACCTCCTGTGACAAACACAGGGCCTGTTTCTGTAGCAAGAGTTGTTTGGATCAGTAGGAATGGGAAAAATAAGAGCTGTAGCATTTTACCCGCTGCTGGATGTATTTCCGTGCTTTGAGCGCCTTTGCAGACAGAACCTGCTGGGGCTTTGCTCCAGGTTTGAACAGATGATGTTGAATTCGATGCTGGAGGTGTCTGAGGTCTCTTTTGAGCATGATTCCCCAGGTAGCTGCCTCACTCCTTGTTTCACTGCAGGGACAGGACTCTGTTCTCTCTGGTTTTGCTGCTTCCCCTCTCAGCCAGGCACTTCTTGCAAAGGCGTGCAGCAAGCAGTGATTTAAAGGGACAACTAAACTGTGTCTGGCTGCCTGTCAGAGAAAGCCAAAAAGCAAAGAGATCTCTTAGCAGAAAAATCTGTATCTGAAATTTAACCCAAAAATACTTGTGTCATATTTTCAGAGCATAAAGTACTGACATTGGGAGTGTTTGTGTACTTCATTACTTGAAGGGAAAACATGAAGTATTTAATCCCCAACAGTTTAAAAAATCCTAATGAATTTCTTCTGTGACAGTCAGCTGGAGTGTTCCCCTTTTTATACACTTCATCCTTCCCCCAGTCTCTGTTGGTGCAAATGTGATTTGAAACAAGCCTGTTTTCTGTGCTGTGACCTTCCCACGAGCCCCCCGGCGGGCAGGGGCGATGGCAGAGCTGGCAGGAGTGATGTCTGTGCACTTGGGATCCCAGGAGGATGCTGGCCCTGCCCTCCAGAACCGACTCTCCTGCAAGACTTCCCAGCGTTTACTGGGCAGCGAAGACCACCCACGGCTCCCAGTCCAGCTCTGTAAGTATTCCACCCAGAAATTGGTGCCACGGGGCTGCTCTGGCTCTGTCAGAGCCTTTGGGCTCTGATTGAGGCCCTTGTTCTTTGCTGTGCCCACCCTGAGGTACCTGCACGCCCTGCACAGCGAGGGCAGAGCCCTCAGAGCCCAGGGCTGCGGGGTTTGGGGTGAGCTGCCCCAATGGCTCCTGTGTTATTCTCCTGCCGAGGGAAGGCATTCCAGGAGCATCCCCGTGGCCTCCGGGAAGGGCTCACCAACAACTGCTCTGTGTGCACTGGCCTGGCAGGGTGAGCTGCCTGAGGCTGGGCTGCTCGGGGCCTCGGCACAAGTTTGGGAGGGTGGAGCTGCCTTCGGGAGGAGCTGTGCTCCTGGAGCCAGAGCGAGGGAGGCTCTGCTGGGCTTTGCACTCTCTCTACACACTTGCTGTTGTGAAGGGAATTATTTTTTTTTTTTAACCTTTCTGGACAAGATTTTTATTACAGCAGTGACATTTCCACGTTGTTTCGTACTTTGAAGAGTTTTAAGGATTCCTGCCGACGCTGTTCCTGAGGGAAGCCATGCCCTGCCACAGAGCCCTTCGCCTGGTCCTGCTAACACTGTGTGGCATCCTGGTCCCTGCTGTGCTGGCAGGTAAGGAGCTTTGTTTGCATGTAAAGCCCAAAAGCGTGGAAGATCCTTTACTGTGCTGCCTCTCTCTTCTCTCACTTCCCTGAAAACATCTATAAGTATGTGTTGAATTAGAACTGATTAATGGAAACCAGCTTTGGAATTGGTGGCTGGTGGTGAGTAAGATTATATTTTCTATCCCAAACCCATGTTTCTGTTGGGGAAAATGGAGAAAATTCCTTGTAACTTTTTCCTAAGGAGAACAGCAGTAGCACGTATGTGAGCGTAGGTGGCTGGAGATCAGTGGTCACATCAGTCACAGGAGATGGAAAACCTCCCAGCAGCTGAGGGGACAGGCTGTCCCTCAGCTTTTAATGGCAGGAAGAAGTTACAGTTGTGAAAAGAAATGGGTTTTGAGGCTAAAGCATGTGGGGCAATTCCTGGTTCCTTCTGTGCTCTGCTACAGCAGGGAACTCCCCAACAGCTGCTGCTGGCAGAAATAGGGAAGTGTCCACGAAAACCTCCATCCAAAGCCAAACTCTGCATCCTCAGGGGGTCTGTGCAGAGCTGGGGGTCCCGAGGCAGCGCTGGGAAGGCTCTGCCCCATGTTCAGTGAGGGGATGGGAATCAGAACAGGTGAGGTGCCTGTTCTGTAAGGCGCCGTTTTTGAGGGAAACATCAGTAATTTCAGCCCTACCTGCCCTGCCCTTGGCACCCTGTGCTGGCTGCAGGGAGCACAGGCAGCCTCCAGCCTGCAGGGCTCCAGTGGGTTTTACAGGGGAGGGAAAACTGGGCTTCCAAACCCGCTGTGTTGATGGGTTCTGAGCATAGAGGTGGAAACTCCTGTGGGGAACTGCTTCCCTCAAAGCCTTTCTTTCAGTGGAGGTGAGGCTGAAGAGGGATGGCTGGGGCCAGGATAACAGGCAGGAGCACAGCATTTGTTTTCCTGAATTCCTGTCCTACCTCCCTAGACCTGGAGCAAGGCTGGTTTGCAGTTCCCTCCCTGTTTGTTCCAAGCATCTTGCCTAGCAGGGAGATCCTGGCCAGCTGTTTAGCAGATGAAATTATGAAATCACTTCTTTCTAAAGGGGCTTTCATAGGGGTAGGAGAATCCAATGCTGTGCCTGGCTGGAACAGCTGTGGGTACAGGAACAGAATTCCTGCAGCTGGTATCCTCCCTGTGGAGGACACCTTCCTGCTGGGAAATTTTAAAAGTAAATAAGAAACGAGCACTAAAAGGTGCATACTTTCCTTCTCAAACCTTCAGCCTTTTTTGTACAGTGGAACATTAATCACTTTAGCACAGTTTCAATTTGTGCCTTGCTCTTGCTCCCAGGAGCAGTTACCATGCTCTTGCCCTGCACCAGGTAAGATCTTTCTTCATCTTTAACAGTATTTCACTCTGCAGGAAGTGATTCATTTCCAGTGAGAATTCCATCTGTTTCCTCTCCGAGCTGGGATTTCTTCTGTGATGTTTAAATTTCCAGTATTTGGTGCATATTTGCTCTGCCTCCCTCCTTGCCAGCTTTCCTGTGGGCCTGCTCTGGCATTGCCCTGTCACTGCCTCCCTGTGTCACTTCGCTCCTGTGAGATACTCCCGGGTTTACTTGATTCCTTTACTGGCTGAGCTGTGCTCGTGCAGCAAGGCCAGTGCTCTCGAAGGGCTTTGTGCTGGTGAATGCAACGTTCAGATCCTGGGGTGCAGGACAGACCTCATGCTTTCTCTGCTTAAGGCCTCTATCAAGTTGTTCCCTGCTCCCTCAAAGAGGACATGAGGGAACCAGTGTGTATGGGAAGCCATCCCAGGAGCAGAGTGACTCTGCTGCATTGGGCATCGAGAGTTCCTGCCCCAGTACAGGAGCTTTTAGCACACAGTGGAATTTTTTCTGCCTTTTACTCCATTAGAAAAGGAAATTTCCTGCCTGGTGCAGACAAAGAGGGGAAGGGCACAGACAGCCCTCTGGTCTGAGCACATCCACACGTGGCCCTGCCTCTCTGTAAACAAGTTTGCTCCCCGTTCCTCAGGACCGCAGCGCTGCTCCGTGTTGTGGCACTCACCAGGCACAGATGCCCTTTGTGCTCCCGGTGAAGGCCTCTTTTCATCCTGCCCTGGCCCCGTGCCACCATGGCCACCTGGGGCCGGACAGCCCGGTGCTGTCCTCAGAGTTCACCAGCCCTGCCCTCCCATCCCAGCACCTCTGAGTGCACAGCAGAGCCCTCCCCGGGGCCGGGGCCGGGGCTGCCCTGGACAGGCTGCAGCTGTGCCAACCACTCCATCAGCAAACCCAGGGTCAATTCCTATGATAGATTCAGAGCTCCGAGTGAAGTGGAAGTGAGTAAAAAGCCTTTGCAAGGTGTGGGCTTCTGAATTGTGTACATGTTTGCTATCTGAATTCACCTAAGGGCTCCTGAGTTTCTTTGGTTTGAGCTAGTGTGGAATTGTGTTGTACTGTGGTGGCACATCAGGAGTTTGAGGAAAAAGCAGCAGGGCAGAAGGAAAATATACAGGACACCACCTTGACCAGGGACATCTCTGTAGCAGCTCGTGTGTCCTCATTTTCAACTATAGGAGACTAAAAGATTATTAGGAAGTTTTTAAAGCTCAAGTACTAGAACATGAAAAGCAGCAAATAGGTTTTGTCAGGGAAATTTCTGGAGAAGATGTGGTTCAGTCTTACAGCAGGACTTTGGCCATTACTCAGCCTGGCTCTGAACCAACGCTCCTTATAAATTACTGACACTGCTACTGACTCCTGGCTAAGGTTGGAAGTGGGGAGTGAGGATGACAAGGTGCTGAAACCAGCTTGTGTGAGGAAGAGTATTGGTCACTGGTGAGTGATCTTGGGGATGAAGATGTGGCCACATCTGCCAGCCCTGAGGTCTTGCAGTCTGCCTGTCTGGGAGGGTCTGGCTCCATCACATTTGGTTGGCTTCCTCAAGACCTGTCACTTGTGGGGACTCTTCCAGTCTTACCTTTGTCACTGAGTACCTGGGGCACTGGCCACCATGTCACTGTGCTGGCAGCTCACCTCACCCTCTTCTCTCTGAGCATGGAAACAGCAGTTTTGTCAGGTTGCCCTTGGTGTCATCCTCTCTGGATCTCTCTACAGCCCACATGGCTGGAATCCCTCTGAGTTCCTGCATCCTCGGAAAACTTATGGTGGATTTCTTTACAGAAACTCTGAGATTTTCTTCCCTTTTCCTGGTCTCAGTTGTAACTAACCTGTGCTGGAGAGAGGGAGAGGACATAGTGCAGCAGAGAGATTTCCCTAAAATAAGACAATTTGTAGTGTCAGTGTGTGGGAAGGTAGAACTGCCATCATCCACCTGGCATACTGGAATACTTTTAGTATAGTTTTTAGTATAGTATTATCATTCCAGTATTACTTTTAATCCGTTTTGTCCAGTTCCACCTCTGCCCAGGAAACCCCCAGAGACATTATTGTATGTCTTTCTCTTAAGTGTTCTCCAGCTGTATGTGTCACAGAGAGGATTTCACTGTTAGTCTGTGGAGAAGAAGTTGCCCTCAGCCCGTGCTCTAGTGCCGAGACAGGGCTAATGCTGGGGAATAACTCTGTGCCTGCACTCGAGGTTTCCCTCCTCAGAGCACCCACAGGGAGCTGTGGCAGTAGTGGGGTTACCTGCGTGTGGCAGCAGCCTGGGAGCCCCTCCATCTGCCCACCTGCTGCCCCTGCTGAGTCCCTGTGGGGCAAACAAACCATGCAAGTGTGCCAGGTGGGTTTTTCTAGAGACAGGACTGGTCCCAAGGCTGATGACAGCACAGCTAATGCATGGCTCTCACCCAGATGTTAAACATCTGGTCTTGTGTTGGAGGATGTATTTTGAGCATGTTTCTTGCTAGTTCTTTGTAGAAATAAAGTTCTTGGGTGTGCAGGAAAGCCAAGTGCTACCTTGCCTTCCATATCTGGTTTCCAGCTCTTGGCTGCACCCCCTCACTGGAGATGGCAACGTGTTTGGGTGTTTTCACACGTGAGAAATGCTGTTCCCTGCCTCCAGGGCTGGGGAGCTGCCCTGTAAATTCCTCTTTCCCTGTGAAGGGCTTCTGCTGGGTTGGAGCTGTCCCGGAGGTGTTTGCTCAGTCACAGACCCGCTGGGTCCGGAGCTGTCCCAGAGGTGTTTGCTCAGTCACAGACATGTTCCCCTGGTCACCCTCAGGGTGACAGTAACTGTGTGGGTGCTCAGGCCTGGCTGCACTGGTGCTGCTTTCCCTGTAGATGGTGTTTAGAGTCCTGTTCTCCTGCTTGTGCACAGAGAAACTGAGCCCAGGAGGGGGAGAGGGACTTGTGGTCCCCCAGAACATGGGCAGCAGGCAGAGAACTGAACTTCCTCACTTGGGTCCTACACCTGTACACAGAGCCTGCCCAGCCTCCATCCAACAGGTGACCAGAAGAGGCCCTCATATCTCCCTTGGAGACATGTGAGATCTTATTAAATGTGCGTGTTGGGTTCTGGCACCTGACACAAGCTCTGTCCTTCCCCCTTGCTTTTCCCAGAGGACTGGAGAGGGAGTGTGGTATTTACTGTTAGAGATCTGCCACTCCCAGCCAGTGGCAGCGGGGCTGACACTCACTGGGACTGTCGGGGAGAAGATGTGACACCTCTGCTTGGTAAAGAAACCTGCTGGATGCGTGAGGGTGGGTGGATGGGTGCTTGGACTTCTCAGCCACGCAGGAGTGGAGGCACATGAGGACATGAGCTGTTGGTTTAGGAGGGAAGATCAAAGATGAGCCATGGAAAAAGTGCTGGCCACGAGCAGGTGCTCTGCCAGGCTGCAGCAGTCGGCTCTGGAGGGACCTGCCTGCTGGCAGTGTTCTCTAGGGGTGGGTTTTGTGTTCCCCCACCTGCTGTGCCGGTGGCAGGGCTCTACACCTTGCTCCAGCGGCAGTGAGGGGAAGGAATGAGGAGGGGACCAGCCCTGGCTCCTGTGACATTCACTTGTTGGTGTTTGACTTTGTGCCTGTGCACGACTCTGCTGCTGCCTCTGAGCTGACAACCCTGTTTGTGAGGCACCAGAGCCGACTGAAAGGGGTTGTGTTTCCCTCGGCTGAAGCGCCGTTAAGGTAAAACCACAAGAACTCGGACAGAAAACGTGTGGTTGGCACACTCTGCCCCTTCTGTGTGGGTGAACTGAAAGCATCAGATGAAGGGAGTTAACCAAATACAGACCCAGCAGCATCCATGTCTTGAAAAAATCACAGAGATCGTAAACAAAAAAAACACCTGTTTCCTCTGTACTTGGCTATCAAAAATAAGCTCTGTGCCCTGCTTAAAGAGAGCTGCAGTAGATTTTTCAGGAATTAGATGTGTTCTAAGAGGGGACAGGAGAGACTTTCTGGGACCTGTGGGTCTGGTTAGATAAAGAACCTTTGCACTCTGGCTGGAAGGGGTACTGCTTCCTCCTTACCCCTTTGAGAGTTGGGAAGACCCTGTCCAGGTCCTACAGGCTCCCTGGGTGGTGCTGCATCTGTTACAGATCATCAGAGCTCACACCTGTCCCTGGGCAGATGTGAGGGACATGCCCAGCTCTGGAGAGAAAAAACATTCTTGGGAAAGGCAGCAATGTCATCCTCCCAGCACAGTGTTCCTCTTCCAGCTGGGGACAGTGGCAATGCTGGTGCTGGCCCCAGGGTTGTTGGCACAGTCAGCAAGGTCATAGCTGGAGTGTGGCTCTTCTGTGTGGGGTTTCTCCCCTTGCAAAAGCAGCCTGGAACGAGGGCTTCAAAACTGTTCCTTACATTTGGCCTGTTCCTAAACCAACAGCTTCTCCATGCCACTGTTGCCAACTAATTAGCCCAGCTCTGCTCCGTTCCTCTCCCTGTTGTTTTAACTACCTTTACTCACTGAATTCTGTACTTCCTCCTGCTCTGTCCTCTGGTAGTGAACCACAGGATTTATAGAAGAGAGCTCCACTGGAAATGACACTTTCTGGAAGAGCCTCTGGATGGGATGTGAGCCTTCAGCTCTGCTGGTTGGTTTGGCAGCACAGGTTGGGAAGGGCCCTGCAAAGGGCTCAGGTGTTTCTGGGGAGCCCTGGTGGACCACAAAGCTCTGTGTGCTTGTCTGGGGGAGCTGAGCTCACCCCTTTGGTGCAGCGAGCACGGATGTACCGGGTGTGTGAGGACACGGTGTCGACGCTACGCCCGCTCCTCCCCGGCGGGACAGCCAGCCCGGGTGTGCTGGGGACCCTGCCTGGCCCAGCTGGCACAGCCCACATACTGGGGGCTTACTTGTCTCTCTCTGTGCTCAGTGGGCCAGAGTTAAACCTGGTAACTGCCTCACTGAACATCCTGTAGCTTTTCTGGCTGTAGAAAGGGCTTTTACAACTAGTTTAGAACATTGTTTTGTCCCCAAGACTGTGGGCAGCCTGGAATAGCTCTGGGGATGGTGGGAGCTACTCTCTGAGGCAAGCCCTGCAGTAATTTCTCAGTTGGTTTGTCCAGGCAGAAAAGGGGAGTGTTTTGGTGCTCCTGTTCCTTTGGATGCAGGGCTCCTATGGGAGAACAGTGTGTGGTGGAGCCTGTTAATGACAATTCTTCCTGCTCTGCAGGAGGCGAGGAGGGCTCGAGGTACTGAGACCTTAAGTGGCACTGCCAGGATGTGCTGCTGCCACCTCTCTTTCCAGGCCACATGGAGAGCCTGGGACACCAAGGGTTCACATGCCAGAGCCAGGGTACCGTGCCCCAGGGAGCCTGGGTTGCTTGCTCCAGCTCCTCTGACTCCCTGTCCTAGTTGTGATAACCATTGTGTCAGTTCAGGTGGGCCCTGGCTCTGGATGTTCATTTCCCCCACACACAGCTTTTTTTTCCCCATCCCAGTGCAACATTCCCAGCGGTTTCAGCAGGGAGCTGTGGAATGTCTCCTGCTCCCGCCAGGGCCCATCCGAACAAGCTGGGCATTGACAGGGAGCGCTGGGCTGAGCCACACACAGACAGGGAGGGCTCTCTGCCTTGGGCCCTGACCCACGGGGGGAAGGAATAACAGGAGACCATTGGTAACATCAGAGCCTGGCCCGGCTTTCATCTCCCTGGCACAGGGGAGGTGCGGGAGAGGGAAGTTGAGGCTCTGGGGTCCTGTCTGGGGGAGCTGTGTCCTGCACTGTGCCAGCACCTCTGGCATCCTGCACTGCATGGAGTGGGAGTGCAGGACAGAAAGGCCCTGAAATGCTGGGAATTTGGCCAGCACAGGTAGCCAGGTGGCCTCTGCCTGTTGCAGACATGTGACAGCCCAGTCCTACGGGTATCCATGAGCAAAAGAGCTGTGGGTGCTCACAGGGCCTGTTTGTGTGTGAGCAGAGGTTGCACAGTCCGGGGAGCTCCCTGTTGTCCCGTGTGTGTTGTGTGTACACCAGAGTGCCCCAAAAGCCTGTGGCAGTGGCATCACCCTGGGGCTGCTCTGGGTGTGGGTGTTGAGTGGAGGTGGTGCCCTCTGCGGGGAGGGCTGTGCCCCACCGGGTTTCTCAGTGCTCACGTCACCCCTGCACCCACCCCAGGGGCACCTGGCAGGCAGCTGGAGCCCAGGGACCTGCTGAGCTGTGGTTGTCACCAGCAGCCTGCCTTGGCCCCCATGCCCATGGGTGCTTGTCTCCCAGCAGAGTACCCACAGGGCCCGGTCCCCACCCTGTGGAATGAGCCACCCGAGCTGCCCTCCGGAGCCGGTCCCTTCGACGCTGCCACCACCACAGCGCGGCTGTCGGACGCCACCGCCTTCCCCCTGTACACCTCTGAGCTGGAGCCCGAGGACACCACCCACCTGCACCGACTGGACACCGGGGACGGTACGTGGCTGCACCGTGGGCCACCTGTGGCTCACCCCTACAGGGGCTGGGGTGTCACTGTGGATTGGCTCTCTGGGGGCCTGTCACCTCCCAGGAGGTGCTGAAGCCACCAGAGGTGGACTGTCCCCAGCCACACTGCTAGGGAGGGGAAGGGCTGCCTGTACCTCCTGCTCAGGGGAACTTCCCCACTGAAAAGCCTCCACTGTGCAGCACTGGCCAGCCCCAGAGCTGATCCAAGACCTGTCCTCTTGCCCCCAGTCTGACCTGTCATGGCAGGCACCTGCAGAAAGTGGTCCGAGCACAGGCAGGGCTCTCCAGAGCAGAATGTGCCTGGAGCTCCCTAAACAGGGAGTGAGCACCTTTCCCGGCTCCTCCTTTTGCCAAAGAGGCAAAAGCCTCTCTGGATGCAGTTTTGCCCCAGGCAAAGGAACTCTAAGTATGGGTGTTAACAGGAAAGCTCAGTGCCACAGACCTGCTTTGTGGTAGCTGTCCCTGGGACCTGGCTGAGGTGGCAGTGGCTGGCTGCAGCCCCTGCCCAAAGGTGCAATGCTGCTGGGGCACAGGACCACACCTCAGCTGTCTGGGGACGTGGGACATCCACCATGGCCAGTGCATGAGCTCCAGGGCAAGAGTGTGACATGATGGCTGGGGACATGCTGGGTGTGGGGTGATCCCTGCAGCCCTTCCCATCTGGGGCCCCCTGGCTCTGCTGACCTCCTACCTCGTTTTCTGTCCCTGCAGGCTCACTGGGGCCCGGAGCTATCGGTGCCATTGTCATCGCTTCCCTCCTGGGGACGTCTGTGCTTGTGGCGTTGGTCATCATCACGCTGAGAAAGTTCTCGGCCTCCTGAACTCAATAAAAGATTTTTCTGTTACACAACCAGCCTGCCTCCAGCTCTTGCCTGCTCCTGCCCTGTGTGCCTGGGGCCCTGGAAAAATGCTGCACACCAGGCCCTCTGCTGAGCAGCCAGGTTGCAACTGAGTGCTCTTTGCTCTTAGTGTGCGTATCTCCTGGGTGCACCCAGACCTGGCAGGCTTCACCCCCCCAGGCCCTGTCACCCCCCTGGTCACAAAGGACTTGTGGCAGTGTGTGGCTTTGAGCTCAGAGCTCAAAGGGGCCCTGCTGGGTCTAGCCTGGGTGATGGTAACAGTGTGGGGCATCCCTCAGCATAGCTTTCCTCGGGAAGAGTTGTTTATTGGCATAAACCACTGCACATTCATGTGTTCAACCCCACTTCCACCCACTGCATTTGGGCCAGTTGCTCCCCACCTATTGCACTGGAGGAGACTGAGAGGAGGCGAGTGATCAGTGCAGGGGAGGAAGGAGACACACACAAGCTGTTTTGGTGCTGGCTTGCTCAGCTACATTTCATCACACAGTAAAACGAGACAACAAGAAGTTCCCCTCAGTTCACTGAGGCAGCCTGGCAGGGGCCAGGGGGCTCCAGCCCCTGCTTGTGGGCCGCAGGCCCGGCCCTGGACAACACTGGAGACCACTGAAACGGGGGCGTGCAGGGCTGGGGCTGAGGAGGTAACACTGGATGCCACTTGGTGCCTGAAAACGGCACAGCCTGTGTCCGGGGGCTGGAGTCCTGGAGTCACAACAGAGCAGGAGGGGCTGGAGCAGTTCCAGGGCTTGGCGGTGGGACAGGGCACAGCAGCCCCACTCCCTGGAGAAATCCACTGAGGACCTGCTGTCCTGGCACTGGGGAACTAGTGAAACAGCTGCTTCTCATTGATGGGTAATCCAGCTTTTGTGTCCTGTGAAAAACACCCCAGGTGGGCATGTTGGGCTGTAGTGCCTAGGCTGGCCTGGCTGCTGGGCTGCAAAGCTGGAGGATCCGCACTGTGGTGACTTCTCAGGTAATTTTAACAGATTCCTCAAGCTGGAAGTCCCTGGGGGTTTGCACTAGTAAATTTGTGGCTGCTGCAAGGTCTAGACCCTGAGCTGGAGGTTTGGTTGTCTCAGAAAGCCGACTGTGGGGTGCTGATGGGGAGCCTGGCTTGGGGTATCCCCATTCAATCAGCCCCCTGTTCCAGACTAGAGGCTGCAGGTCCTTCCTGGCCCCAGCTCTGGGCTGGGCACTGGATGGTGACCTGGAGCCTCTGGCTGGTGTGAGCTGCCCAGGGGCCCTCTGCCAGGGGTGCCACAGGTGGCTGGGGCAGCACAACCCTGCTGGCTGTGGTCACATGCTAAGGTGGTGGCACTGAGCTGGACCTGAGCAGCCAATGCCTTCTCTCCCTCTTCACTGCTGTGGCTCCCACCACTTCGGTCCTGGGACTGGCTCTGAGCTGGCTGTACCAGAGCTGTGGTGACAGCTGTAGAGGCAGCCCCAAGGACAGCCCTGGCCCCCCCTCAGCTGTGTCTGGCCTCGTGCTGCACACCCCATGTGTAATCTGGGCCCCATATGGTTCAAAGACCAGCTCAGGATCCTCCCTTCAGCAGCTTCCCAGTGTCCTGTTTCCTCCTCATGCTGCTGTTGAAACGGTGGTGCCTCTCCCCTCCGTGCAGGTGGCTGGTGTGTGGTTCCATGGGCAGGCAGCTGCTCTCCATCCCCTCCCCAAGCACAACTGTGGCACCACCAGAGCATCCACCAGCACAGGCCGCAGTGCCTGGAAGACAGTCCTTTGCAGAGTTCCAGAACAGTCCCAAATACTTGATTTTCCTGGTGGATGCTGGCCACAGCTCAGGACCAGCCTGCAGCTCCAAGGCCCCTCGACTGCAGCCGTGTATGGGAGCTGAACAGCAGGCAGGGGCTGTGGGTCTGTCCTGTGCCCCAGCTCCTCTCAGTGCTGTGCCCTGGGCTTCATGCGGTGCTCAGTGCCACAGCTGGCAGGAGGGATGGCTGTGCTGGGGCAGGGTTTGGGTGTGTACGTGGAGGGCAGCCTGTACAGTGGGGCTGGGGGTTACAAGCATGCAGGCAGCGATGGCTGGGCCTCCCACAGCTCATGGGACAGCAGCTCCCAGGTCAGGGCACTCCCTGCTGCGGGGCAGCCCAGCATGCTGTGCTCCCCTGGGCTGTGGTGCTGTGCAGGGAGGTGCTGGCACGGCCACCCTGCGCTGGCCTTGCAGGGAGCAGCAAAGACCACGAGTGCCAGGTCACTGGGAAAGGCCACGGTGGCGGGGCTTCTGCGGTGACCCTGCAGAGGGAGGCGGGCTGGGCAACAGGGGCTGAGCCTCGGGGCAGGGCCCAGGCAGTGCTTCCAGGCCATCGGGCAGGTAGAGATGTAGGTTGGGGCTGGCGAGGCTGGGCTGCTGGTGGAGCAGGGCTGGGTGTGGAAGCAGATTGAGGGTCTGCCTGTAGGAATAGGCCCAACAGCTTCTCAGTAGGAGGGGAAGTGGAGGTCCTGGAGCTTGTCCCAGCTTGTTGCCAACGGGCTCTGAGAGGCAGCGAGACAGCTCCTTGGCTGCAGTTCCTACCCCTGAGGGAGGCTGTGTCCAGAGCACCCCAGACTCGGAAGGGAGCAATGAGCTATGAGTGCTCACACTGGGCGATGTTAATTGCTCAGTGATGTTGGTGGCCACGGGCCTTTCCCAAATGGTCTGAGCCAGCCCCAGCCAGCACATGTGCAACAAATGGGGCTTAGCTGGCCTTCGGGCAGTGTCCATGGGGCTCATGCTCTTTGGGACTTTACAGAACACCTGGAAAAGGGTTATTTTACAGTTTAGAGCACTGATCTCTAGGGAAGGATCAGTGCTGGGGGGGCCCAGGAACGACAGTCAGGTTGTTCACGGGTGTTTGTGCCTTGTCCGGTGCAGCAGGTCCTCCACCATGTCCCACAGCTGCCACCTCTTCCCAGCTGGCAGCCTCTGTCTCCTGCCCCTCTCCCGGAGGCACTCCAGATGCTTGGGAATGCTGCCGGTCACTGGCGATTTCTGCTGCCCAGTTTCCTTCTCTGACTGTCATCTGACTTGTGCACCCGGAAACACTCCTTCAGGTTCTGGGCTCGGATTTTGGGGTTCAGGATCTCTTCCCCAATAGAACTGGGGAACCAGCCCCTCTCCTGGTCGTGAAGACGCTCCCCAAATATCCAGCCTGAGCAGAGACAGAGACAGGTATAAGCATGGAAGGCCTTTGTTCCTGCACTGGGACAGTTGTGCTGCAAAGAGCCTACGGAGCTGACAGAGCTTTCTGGAAGTTGCTCAGAGGCCTGTGCTGGAGCAGACTCAGTCTGTCCATCCAGCAGGGATGTGCCTGAGCAGCACTGTGTGTGGACAACTGGCTTGAGGGATGGCAGCAGAAAGCAGGCACTGCTGCCACTGAGTGTCCTCTGCTGCCCCTGAAGCCACAGGAGTGGTTCTCAGCAGAGACCCAACGTGACAGACCACCAGGGTGTTCCAGAGAGCAGGACTGGGTGGCTGTGAAGCATCATGAAGGTAAGAACAGCTCTGGGATACATCTGGGGTGGCTGTGGCAGCCCTACCATGGCCCACAGCTGGTACCAGGGTGGCTGTGCCAGTATTGCCACAGCTTAGGGCAAGCCTAGATTGTCTGAGTGTTAGGCAGTAACTCCCTTCTCCTGCTGTGACCTCTCTCAGCTGTGATGCCAATGCCAAGGTCTCTCTGGCTGGAGAGACTCACAGCTGCCTGCCCAGAGCAAAGCCCAGCCCTCTGCAGGGACTCCCAGCTCATCCCCACCCTGTCCCCCGTACCATCGTCTGTCTTGTCCAGGATGTTGAGGACATCAGCCAGTTCCAGGGACAGCTCATCGGGCTGCTGGGCCACATATGGGTGGACACACTGGATCTGTGGGCAGTCTGCCAGGGAACAGGGCACAGTGAGGGATGACTGGGGTGAAGCCCATGGTAGGACAGCACAGCTCGGGGGATGCAGCACCGCCAGCTCTGTGCATGGTCCCTCTGACCTGGTAAGGAACCCGGGGGAGGCCAGAGGGTGCCCCAGCAACAGGGACCAGTGGAGCAGCTCTGTGGGAAGGGAGCTGGGTGCCCATCACCACCACAGTCATGAGCAGCCTGGGTGGGAGGGAGAGTGCTGGTGCAGCCCAGCCTGGGTTGGAGGGGGGCAAGGTTAGGGCCAGGCCTAGAGACAAGCAGGTATTGATGGTGGAAACACAAGGGGAGCCCAGGGAGAGGGTTCAACTTTGGCAGAGGCCTCAGGTATGTTGCTGGACTGAGATCAGGCAGAATAAGGCACCCTGGGGTAGGGGCGAAGAGCTCCTGGCTCCCGTGCCGTGTCTCTTACCAACAAGTCTGGATGTAAATGAAACAAACTTGGTTCTCCGGTTTGGGGCCAGTGAAATCATCCAGCGTTTCATTTCACTCCTGGATAGGGCAGACAAACCAAGGCTGTGAGCATGCAACAGTCGTAGGGCCTCCAGCTCTTCTGCCCAGCCAGCCCTGGGCTCTGAATTCCTCCTCCCAGCCTTTTCCTGCCTGCCCCTCAGGGGTCCTGGACTCAGCAGTGATGCTGAGCCCCACTCTTGCACACCCTGGTTGGGATGTCACACATGGCACAGCGCTCTGGGCCCCGCTGCACAGCCCTGGCTGTCCCCACAGGCAGCAGTGTCCCCCTCTGGGGAGCAGCACTGCTCCTGGGAGCCAGCACAGTGGGGTGGGGGCTTGGGTTCTCTGAGATCTAACAAGCAAAGGCAGCTCTGGCTGGGCTGGTCAATAGGGGCAGTTTTTCCTGGAGATAAGCAGGACAGGAACCATTTATTCCCACAGCTGCTGTGCAGGAACATTTAAAGGGCAGAGCTGATTAATTCCCTTGCAGACAAACGCTGCAGCACACCAAGGGTACCGCTCACTCTGCAGGGGATGAGACAGACCCATGTGAATGCACCACCAGACCCAGCACCCTGCAAAACCTTGGTCTGCAGGAGGGTAAGATCTCACAGGTGCTACAGAAACCCCTC